TCCTGGAATTACCCTCCCAGTTTGGGAACCACTGCTTTAAGGCACATATTTCAAAATTACAAGAGCTTTGATAAGAGATGGAAATGCAGAGATAACTTTCATTGCTGTTACCAATGCTCCAACTGTAATCAAATGAAAACACTCGACATCAGAACAACCCAAATTTATCTCGGCTTGGCTCTGCTTTGACAGGTCTTGAATTTCACAGCTGCTACACCCTAGACATGAACTTGAAAAACACCTGTTTGACCATTCTTTAGATGTTAACTAGCTGAGCAGCTGACATTTAAACGCGTCTGCTGAGCCCTACATGGAGACAGGACTTTCTGTCTCCAGTTTCTGAGCGCTGTGCCTCCTACACCTTCCCCGTACAGCCCGAGCACCTCCACTGCCCAGCTCAGAGCGGGAGCTCCAAGTACCAGACAATTCCCCAGACAAAGAGTTCCCACAGAATAAACCTCTTCCTGCAGGTTATGAATGAGAGTTGAAGTCTTCCACTACTTTTACACATAGCCAAGCTCCTAGCTGGTTTAAAATAATGGTGTTCTACCCACAGAAGAAGCTAAGACAAATTACTCCTTCTGAGAGTCCCAATACTTTTTGACTACAAGTTGTGACTTAAACCATCCACACTTCTGGTTCCTGTCTATAAAACAGACATGTTAATGGAACTTAATTTTTTTTCCACTTTTTTCCTGTTTCATATATGTCAACTGGAAGAACATCAGAGGTAAAAGCCTCCCCCATCATATCCAATACCTGCACAGTGACAAACAGCGTGGAACCCTGACCACGGCTGGGCTGACACCCGTGACTGTGGCACAGACGAGAAACTACAGCTGCAAAACTCTTCACACTGCAGGATTTACTGTATGAGGGAGTATGAGCATTCAATGCAGCCAGAAGAACTTAAATAAGACACAAAAAGAAGTAAGAGTGGCCAAACACCGGAGCAGATTGCCTGAAGAGGCTGTGAAACCTCCACTCTTTCTGACTTTCAAACCTCAACACAACTTGACAACCCTGCTTTTGCGCAGGAGGTTGAACCTGATGACTTCCAGAGCTCCCTCCTACCTAAACTTTTCCATGATTCAGAAAACTTATGAAAAGACCATTTCAGTAGGATATCATGAACAGCGAAGTGCTTGAGTTGATCTAATAGAAACTGCAGGAAATGTAATCCATTCTT